TTTATTTCTCCTTCAACTATGGCAGATAGTTTGGCCAGGCATGGTTGTCTATATGAATATCTATAGTCATTTAGGACATGTACATTGCTCCAAGATCTTCTGACTGATGACATTCTGATTGAGAACTCAGCTAACATTCTAAAGCACCTTTGGGACCATTGCTATAGGACTGATGGATCTTGGGGGACATCTTAAATTTTCATCCTGCCTATGATTTTGTACTGGAACCTGGTGCCTAGAGTTAAATCATGCATTATATCTTTTGATATGAGTTTCTAGCTCAGTTTTGTTGAATGGGAATTTGGTTCTGATTTTGCTGTTAGCCTAACTCAGTTAGTTTTGGATCAAGCAGGATATGTTCTCAGTCTTCTGGACACTGCTCCATTCATGAGTGGAGATGTTAGTGTGATACTATTTCAGCAGCTATGGGAAGCACTAGGGTCTTGACTGCTCAGGTACAGCTTCGTGAGTAAGGATCCAGGGCAGGTGATTGGATGGGGTGAGGGGTCTTAGCACTAGCAGCCTTAGCATTGGTAGCCATATACCTGGTTGCTTAGGTAGGTCTGGGACAGACAACAGAACAGGCAGTGGTTGGGGGCGGGTGTATCTTAGCACCTGTGTCAAAGCCTACAGCAGCTTGGGTAAGATCCCAGAGTAGGTAGTTGTGGCAGGGTCAAGGAGTCTTATTGGCAACCATGAGCACAGCTACTCAGAGTCCCAGCATATGGTTAATAATTGATTTTATAGAAAACAGACACTGAAGTTATTGGTACTGGGGGACACTGCGATAATAGCTGTGGTTTAAAAGGAATTACCGGGTAGTTAGATGCAGGAACAACTACAAAGATAAAAGATGAGGGAGAGTTTGGTATTTGAGACAATTAGTGAATTGTTTCAACAATCTTGTGTCAAGGGAATGTAGACATAAACACTTACTTAGGAATGTAGCATGAAACTGTCAGGACAACATCAAGATACTTTGATTTGGGCTCTGCAAGTCAATTGTCCTTTGTATAGCTTTCATGGACAAAGGAGGTAAGATAAAACATGGTGGAGAACTAGGCAAGTCTAGAGAAGTTAACCTTGGGGTAGGGAGCTGAGCAATAAGGTGAAGTCCAAAGTGTCCAGGGAATCAGGGGGAGGGAAGGTCTTCTGTACAAATTGCTTGCTGTTGAAAGGGATGTTCTCAGGGTTTCAGGAAAACTACCCAAGTGAAGCTTTTCACTTTATTGTATTTTATGATCAAAGTCAGAGGACTGGTGATTCACAGGACATACATATAAGACTAGTTAGAGAACATCCTTTTACTACCTTTTAAATTCATAGCTATGCTGATGATTCATTGAGCAATTTGCTTTATCCATTAAGTCAATCACTTAACAAATATGCTCCTCTTATATTCTAAGACCTGTATGGGGTGCCAGAAATGCTTTTGAGGATTTGGTCTTGTTTGGGATAATACAGAGTTACAATGAACTATAATATGTGTAATAATGGCGAGGACACTTAGAACAGCAATTAGTAATTATTCAGCCTTTCATTTAGCAATGTACTAAGTCAGCTGCCTGTAATGCACTTTAATTAATCTTCACAGGATCTATGTGATCATAAAAGTCATTTCCAAGGAAATATTTTCAAGATGTTCAGTAATTAGTCCAATAATGGGCAGGTAGCAAGGTACAAAGCCAGTGTTCAAACCTAGACCTTATCTAATTCAAGATTTTGAAAGAATTGCTAACTAATGCAGATTAGAACATTTTACTCAGTTGTCTTATGTGTAGACTCATTAGAGAATAAGAAGAGATTCACATTGGAGAGCGGAGATTGTAAGTTACTGCAATAGCTTAGTTCAGCTATAACAATGGCTGAAACAATGGCTGTGAGCATGTAACAGGTGTAAGTCATTTTGTATTGGACTCTACAAACAATTTACTTAGCTTCTGTGCAACCTGCAAAGAAGTAAGCCTGAGCTGGTGACGGAGAGGAGTGCTGTGAAACTCTGTCTTCTAGATATCACATGGAAATTGTACTCATGAAGTCACAGCAGTGTGGTTGCCTGTAAAAAACCCACACAAGACCAAAGCAGCCAACATCCTGGCACAGATGTGGAGGTGCTCCATAGGCCCCACCCTTTTCCTGAGGCACTCTGACCCTCTGACTCCAGCTGGTAATCACAGGGAGTTTGCACTCACTCTATATTCTGAGTTTGGTCTGAACAGATTCCAGCTATGCCTGTGATCACAAGTTTCCCCATGTAGGTTCTGTAGCCTGAAATCCAATCAAGACTTAGAAGGTACACATAAGCAAAGCTTGATTTAGTGGATTTCTAGACCAGAGTGGTAGATATGGGTTAGCTCTCTAGTGTGCTAGTTGTTCTGAGTTGTAGTTACTTGACCTACCAAAGGCAACAAAAAGACACAAAAGGGGGCTCTTTTGAAAATTATACTTATATAATAAACACATATATTAAAAGCCATTCCTGATATTTCTCTTAAATATCTGTAACCAGAAAAAAACCTTAATTTTCTCCTGAATTCAAAAACTAGAAATAAGCAAACAAACAAATCACAAAACAAACAACTAGATACCATATGATGAGTGTACATGCAGCATTTCACTAAGAGTCTGGGAAACATTTGCCAAAGCTAATTTTTTAAAAAAAATTAATGCAAAATAAAACAGGAACATTCATTCCATTATGACTAGATATAAGAACAAGCGGCAGTTTTTACAAAGTGAGTGCCTTGGGAATGCTTTTGACTAAATGCCTTATATTATATAACTCATTAATGAAAATCCCAAATGAACAGGAATTGTGGCCATATGGCTGAATATTATAAAGCTGAAAAGAATCTACATGGTCACTTGGTAAAGGGTGATCATCTTTCAAGAAGAAAGTAGCTGATTTCATGCGGACTGACTGACTCCTCTTAGTAAATGGACATAATGGAAAGAATACAGTAAATGAAGGAGCAGCAGCTATGGCAGCATCACCTTCTATTGCCAAAGTTACTGCTGGAGAAATTTCAATTTACTTTCCTTATGCCAAATTGAAACCATTTACTGAAAATAATGACAATAATGGAAACCATACAAGGTGATCTGACCCAGTCTAAAAATCTCCAAATCCAAAATGCTTCAAAATCTGAAACTTTTTTGAAAACTAAAATAATGCTTCAAGAGATTCAGAGTTTGCAGAATTTTGTTTTTTTTTTGATTTTGCATATGCAACCAGTACTGTCCACATAAATATTCCAAAATTTAGAAAAAAAAATTGTAAATTCTGAAAAGCTTCTGACCCCAAGAATTTTGTACAGGGATAATAAACCTGCAACAAAGAAAATAATAATAGCAAAAGAATCAAAGTCAAGGCTGGTCGAAGTATTTTATATATGTTATCAAATATTTAAGTTAAAACAGTAATGCAAAAATCCTAGCAACATTATTTTAAAGAGGTCTTATTGCGTTCTTTTTGAGGCTAGCCTTGAACTCAGCTGTGTAGTGGAGATACAGTGAACTTCTGATCCTCCTGGCTCCACCTCTCACTTGAAGTGTTGGGACTACAGATGTGAGCCACCACTCCTGGTTATGTGGTCCTGGGGACTGATTGAACACAGAGCTTCATGCATGTTAGGCAAACACTCTTGCAACTGTACTATAGCTCCAATCCTATGACTTCTGACTTATAGATCAGAAACTAAGGCAAGGAGAGGTGAATTAGTAGACATATGGTTTATATCTAGGAAGTGGCTATGTCTGTGGCATTAGAGATCAATACTAACAAGAATAATAGCTGACTTCAAATGATGAGCTATTTTCATTAATAATATGAACAATCCTGGTTGGTGGAGCAAATTCATCTCACAGGCATCAAGTAAAATACTGTAAGATTGTATAAATACAACCCATAGCAGTTACTCACAGAGCTAGAGGCAAAGCAAATGACTCAAATATAAGGAACTCTGAAGAGCTCTATAAACTTCAGGGCAAAGACAAGAAAAAGCAATTTTAAACTCCTGGTTGCCAAGGAGGGAAATCGGGCCTAGCACTAGAAATTTAGCTAGCTTCCCTGCGGGTAGTGACATCACAAACCTTGGAGGAGAGTTTACCAGCCACTTTGCTAGACCAGCCTAATAATTAGCTGCGTTCTAGATCTTATTCTTATGCCTATAGTTAAGTGTAGCTACCAGTCTCTTGCCAAAGAAGTTTCTCTGTACAGCAAATGGAGATGGTTGCAGAGAACCATAGCTGGACATAATGCAGAGATTAACAAATTGTGGGGAGCCAGACCCAATGTCTACATCTACACAACAATCCATCTATGACTCAGGGACCATCAAGGGAGAGAATGCAGAAGGGGGCCAGAATATCAAGACGTTTACTGTAGACGAATCTCTTCTAGAAATGGCTGCAAAAACAAGACTGTAACAAATGGCAATATCAGTAGATAAGGAACTATGGGCAGCTTTTGACTGCTGAGAGAAGGAGAATTGGCTTCTCCAAGGGATGAGACCCATCAACGATTGTTTATTAGAGTAGTTTATCTTGAAATCATGTACACAGACAGAAAAAAAAAAGGACTCAGCTAGTTGTACTTACATATTTGTGCATAAATATACATACATATGTGTGTGTGTGTGTGTGTGTGTGTGTGTGTAGTTGGAAGATGGTGACTTAGAGGGAATAAAGGGAGAAGAGCAAAAGGGAAAGTGATGTAATAAAATGTATAAAACTGAAAAACAAACAAACAAGTCCAGATGTGGAAGAGTGTTAGAAGCCGCGAGAGTTATTTGTACATCTATGGTTTTCAGGAAGGTTCCCATATTGTATGTAGAAAATGGGAGATAGGAATAAATAATCAGTGTTTGAATTGAAATGTGCTTCGTCAACCAGTTCTACTTTCCTTGGTATTTCCTGAAAAATCATAACAATTGAATTCCATTCAAGAAAATAATGCCAAGTTTAAATAAATAAGAACATTCTACTTCATGAAGAAATACCTCAGTGCATCCTTAGTTCCGTGTGACGTTAGTAGCTCTGTCTGTTCACCATTCATAACTTCTCTGTTTTCCAAGTTCTGGGTTGAATTCTGGAATGAAGCAAAGTCAAAGGATGTAGATGCTGCACATACAGAGCTGAAGCTTGGAACAAAACATTTCAACTGAGGGAGGAAGTAGCTTCCCCTGAATATAGACAGTCTGCTCTCATTTCTTTTAAGACTGGAGACAGGTATCAATCTGCTGGGTGCTTTCAGTGTGCTCTCCCCTCCTATTTGGTTTCTAAAATGCTCCACTGGTGGCCTTTTTCACAAGGCAGTATGTTAAAATCGGGGAATACATTGCTCAGCTGTCTGCTGCTCAGCCTTGGGTTTGGGAATCCTATTTTAAACTAGTTTGAAAAAAAATACCAAAAGAAATCTCCAGTGCTACTAAGTAGTGAGAAACAAGTCTTTGTGACATCTATGTGCTTGTACTTAGCACAGTGCAGTGTAAGCAAAAAAAAGCAGATATATGAAAAAAAAATGTTTGTTACCTGGCCATCCTGGAGCTTCCTCTATAGATCAGGCAGGCCTCATACTCAGAGACCCACCTGCCTCTGCCTCCTCAATGCTGGGATTTGAGTCCTGCACTGTGACCATGCCTAGTTCTCCTGATTATTTTTTAACATTTATTTGGAAGATTTATTCATTTTATTTTTGTGAGTGTTTTGCTTCCGTGCTTGTATGTGAACCATGTGTGTCTGGTGCTCACAGAGGTCAGAAGAAGTCACTGGATGCCCTGGAACTAGAGGTATGGGTTATTGTGAACCACAATGAGTGGTTGCTGGGAATCAAACCAGGGTCCTCTGGGAGAGCACAAAGTGCTCTTAACTTCTAAGCCATCTCTCTAGCTTCCTAAACTGATTTTTTTAAAGGTGTCTTTTATTTTAAATGGATAGCAACAGTTCAAACAGATGTGTTTTCGTGAAATATATTTTTCCTAATTCAATTTTCTAGTCTCTCCATGGATAAATAAAAGGAAGCGCAGTCTATAAAATTGAAGAACCCTTAATAGTTTAGGGTAAACTATCTTTGAAAAGATAAATATCTGAAAGTTTCAATGTCCATATTATCCTTGGGAGCAGGTGATAAGTTCATACAGAACAAACAGGGCAAGACTGGGAAAGTTAAAAAAAAAAATCTAGATGGATTTACCAGAATTCCTAAACCTGTGATGATCACTCGTACTAAGATATTTGATAAGCTCATTTATGCCCAAGTTATTGGCTTTTTAATCCGTCTGTAAGACAGTGAGCCTTGTGTGTGGTTCTCAGAGACAGCCAGAGCCTACTATGTTGTATTTTAAAGCTATATAAGAAACTACCCCAAAACGTTATGGAATAAAAAATGCATTATTTCTTCTAGTTTCTGAGAAGTGGCAAAAGGGAAGTTATAGGATGAGTTTGGAAACCAGATGTCTTAAGGCCTGAAGCAACAATCTTCTAGCTGGGGTACCCATGCTGTTAATGCTGCAGCATGACTGGAACATCTACAGATGTGAAGCATCACTAGTCTGATTCTTCGATTCTGTTCATTTAACTATGACCATCCTCATGCCTGCACCATACAGTTCTGACTGTCTTAGATTTGCATTAAGTTCTAAAATCATGATATGTGGTTCTTTCAGACTTGTTTTGTTTTCCATGTTGGCTCAATATTCTGGGCCTCATACATGTATCCAATTTAAGAACTAGCATGTCTGCCAATTTCAACCTCCACAGAGTACTTGATAGCACATTTAATCTATATATTATAATGCCATTTTAACAATATACATCCCTCCAATCCACCAACATTTAACAGTGGCAGTTAATTAAAACAATTAACCCTTTCAGTTCTCTCT